CACACGGGAGACGCGCACCGACAGCGTGCAGAACAAGCAGCGCTTCTTAGAGGAGTTTGGGGACGCAGGTGGGGCCTCTCTTGCTGTGTGTGCGGGGGACACAGGCGATGTGTGTGGGTGTGGTTGCAGGGCTGCTGGGTGTGTGGGAATGCCTGCGGCAGCCGCGCGGGGCTTGCCTCTGCTCCCCGTGCCGGCCCGACGGCCCTGCCAGCTTTGTGGGGCCGCCATCACCCGCCACGCGCCTCCCCCTTTCCACCCTCCCCGGCTGCCACCTTGGCTGCGCAGGTGAGGAGCTTGGGGAGCGCGAGGCGGCGGCGGTGGCGCGCAAGCCCGCAGACCACCGCGCGTTGTTTGGCGGCAACACAGACGACCACTTCCGCCTGGGCATCAAGCTGACGCGGTGAGGGGGCTGGGGGCGTGGAGCTGGGGCCTGGGGCTGAGGGGTGGGGCTGGGGGGCTGGAAGCTGGGCTGCGTGGCGGCCCTTTGCAGTCCTGCAGCTGGCTCGTCGGCCCTGCGGGGAGGCGGTAGACCTGCCGGCCCAGCTCCCCTGCTGCCCTGCCTCCTGCTGCGCTCTCCCACCCGCCCTCTCCCGCCCACGCCCGCCCCGCCGCGCCTGGCCTGCCTGCCGCAGGGGCGCGGTCAAGCTGTTTGCCTACTTCTTCGACTCCGACATTGTGGTGGCCTCGCCGCTGGCGCTGGCCACCACGCTGGCGGGTGGGTGCGGGGCATGGGCGGGGCATGGGCGGGGCATGGGGCCCTGGCGCGGCAGCGGAGCGGCAGGGCTGCTCCCTGCTGCCAAGGGCGGCCCCGGCCACCTTCCTGCCTGGCCGTCCACCCCCTGCGCTGTGCCGTGTGCTGCGGTGCAGAGGCGGGGGGCGAGGGCGAGGCCGCCGCCGACTTCTTGTCGTCTGTGGAGGTGGTGGTGGCGGAACGGGCGGATGTGATGCTCATGCACAGCTGGGCGCACGTGGCGACGGGTGAGGGGTGGGAGGGTGGTGGT